TTTCTCTCCTTAACCTCTGAGCTAGCATACGGTAACGTGGTGTGTGGAGTTAATGCTAGATAGCACACTAGATAGTGGTGCCAGTAATGCACTCACACGTTTGTAACAAAGAGCTAAAATAGAAGTGACTGTGTTATATAGTAAAGGCACTTGCTACAGCCCAGCCTCCATAAATTTCTTTGCTACTTAATTTTATCTTAATCTCATTTGTGTGTGTAGTGTGAGGGCGTTATAGTCCAAACCAAAATTAAGATAGTAGACGGTGTTGAACTACTTGCCTCAACTTGCCATATAAATTGCTATGATAATGCATAGGCTTAGTCCTACATCAAAGACATACAGTACGCACAGTGAGTGAAGACAGTAAGTACAGTAAGACATCCCAGATTCACTGAAACATGGGGCATGTTCAATTTACTCCACTAGATGGTGTTGTGAGCACTTCACCCAATTGCCTTCAAAACACAGGACATCAAAAGATACACACTCTCCTATCTAGTTTGTGTATCCTTAGAAATAACTTGCCCAAATATTCTTTTTATCTTCACCATGGTGTGATTTGTGAACAGATGACACCCTGTAGCAAACAGGAACTGAAGTTTTTGTCTAACCTCTCAAAAAAAAAAAAAATTAAGAAAAAAGTTCATTTTTACAGGTTGTGGATATTTGCTGAAATGATTCTGAGACAAAAAGGAGTCAATGCCCAAAAAGAAAAAGGGAGAATTGTGGCAGAAAGAGAAGGCTGCTGCCTTCTGTCACATCTTGTGTCGCTCTGATCACTTTTGGCGACTTCCAAAACAACATAATATTAGTGTTGTCACTCACATACAGATACAGGGGACTAAAAGTTATTTTAAGATGAACAACTGACAAATTAAGAGCAAGGAACAAAAAAACAAAAGAGAAAAAAACAAGTGCTAAAGTCATGTTGCTGTCTGTACTTGTCATGTGTGTGTTTTGAAGCCGTCAGAGCTGCATACTTAAACTGTGCATTACTAACTGTTAGCACTTTACCTTTTGAATTGGCTGCATTTAGGTTTGTTTTTAACATCAAACACAAAGCAAAGGCTTTTTATTGTAAAATGTGAAAATATTCTACAAAACTGGGACAGAGTGCTTCACTTTGATTTAGACTAACTCACAGGCACCAGTGCATTTGTGGAATCATCCCCATAAATAATTCACAGTGCATGTATATATGTTATTTATGGTGTGCCACGTTGTCACTATTAGACCTGCCGGCACGTACACTGAAATCATATCCACTTGTGAATCAGAGTAATGACGCGCCAAATTTAGTCTGTAGTATCAGGTTAGAGCTGGCTTTATTCATGCGTGCACAGTACACTATAGGAGATCTAGAAATGGGCTGTGGCTCTGCTGTGTGAATGTGTCCTCAAATACACTCTTTGTATACACGGCTACACATGCTGAAGGCATGGGCTGGTGTTATGTAAGTGACAGTCACCTCAGTGACCTCATTCTGAGAAGCCTGGGGCCAGCTCAGGTCAAATCTGCTGCACAGACATGTCTTCTTTACTCATGAGACATGGTTCCAGGTATCCTCAATGGAAAAATAAATACAAATATTAAAAAAAAAACATTACTACAAATTACAGCAAAAGATAATAAGTAATTGAATGTATTTATCTATTTTGAAGTACTCCCTAAGAAAACGGCCCAATGACATGTGGCACATTTTACATTTGCTATCACACTGTATTATGCATATTATTATATATAAGATTCTTCTTCTCCTGATTTTAGGAAAGCACAGCTGCCAATTGTTCCTACCCTGTCATTGAACTAAAGGACTTCAGTGTGCAAGGTAAGTCTAATACCCACTAATTATGAATTATTTTGTCTTTCATAAAGGGATATTATATCCACTTACCAAAAAGTGAAAATAAAACATGTTAAGTCGTAAGTGACATTTAAATCAAACAAACATGAGTCTGCTTCACAAATGATGATTACTGCCACAATTGCGTCCTTGTTTCAGTGTCCAAACCTGAATGAGTGCAGCACATCTGCATAAGTATTTTCACAGAAAAAAACGAAACATTTTTGCAATGCCCCTCTCTGCAGCTTTGTGGCAGGTGCATTTAAAACACAGCCCAACTAACATTTTTAATTGCGCTGCAAATTGAATAAAAAGTCGTTTCTGCTGCCCCTCAACATTTGGTGCATTGTCAGTTGTCATCCAGACTGTAATGAGTTGTCTAGACGACAAAATGAATGAAGCGCCGTGGGCCATTCACTATTAGAACGAAATAATCAAACAGCCCAAGAAGGACAAGGACTCACAAGTGGATGTGCGCAGTGTTACAGTATAGTGCGCCACAAAGTATTCACAAACTTAATCTGTTTGGAGGATAATACTGCATTATTGAAAGCTCTGTGTCAGGCGTTATGTGTGCCTGGCAGTCTCATGATTGTAGTAATTAGTTTTAGTAAAATATTAAAATAGACGGTCATCATTTAAAATATAAAGCACTATTCAAACATTTTTCTAAGGTGTAAAAATGGTGTTTGCTTGTGCTTTAATAAATAAAAAATATATTTTTCAGTTTTCAAACAGTGATCGACCAAGGACAAACGTATTAATCATTGATGAATTCATTATGATTCTCAAAATTTTATACTCTTCACATAAAATTAAAGGAACACATTGTCCCTTTATTCATTTTCGTTAGTTTCAGTTTAACCCCCCCAAAAATAAGCAGTATATTTTATATACCAACTTCATCATTAAAGGTTTTCAGGTACAACTAAAACATGTACCTGCGTTTACCATTTACATAGTGGCATATATTTTGAAAGACATGCTTGACCAAGCTAGCTGAATGCATTGTATACAGTACTGTAGAGCTTTCCCATAGATACAGCAGATGAGGATCCACATAAGAAGACAGCTGATCCCATCTATGAATTTAAAAAAAACAAAAAAACTTTAAATTATTTCTCTTCTACAAAAGTCAAAATGCTGCCATCTGTTGGTTAGAGCTTTGGGTGAAGAGGTGAAGGGGGAGCAGGCCATAGCTGACCTTTGACTGAGCACACTATTGCTTGTTTGCTCATAGAATCAGTATATTTTTGCAAAAAAAATAAATAAATAAATAAAAGAAATCAGATGGGATTCAATTTAATTTAAATATCTATGTCAATAAAAAAAACTGTTGGATGAAAATATTTGACCAACTTCTGGATTGTTATGACAATTCACAGTATTTAACAGCAATGTGGTGTCAATAAGGCTGCAGAAAATGTATAAATTGAATGTAATTGAAATACAATTATGTGAAGAACTGGAACAGATGAAAGACAACATTTGGAATTTAATTTCACCCAAAGCCACAGAAGAAGAACACTTTTGATTCTGTGGCGTATTGTTCCTCCTTTAGCGCCTGAGTAACACAGGCTGTTAAAAAAAAGAGACAATTGGCAAAGCAGTCACTTTTAGGATTCAATGAAAAACAGTGTTAATAGTCGACAGAATGGGAGTTGTGCTGAGTCTGTACCAAGATTTAAAAAGTGCAAGTGCAAGTTTATGTATAACTATCATTTGAGTTCTACTCCACTAGGCCCACTAACACTGACTAACATTAATGAATAATGTATTATATGCAGTTAATTTTAAATTAAGTTAAAAAATTATGAAACTAAAAGATTTGACCATATTGTAGGCCAGTAGTTTTCCACATAAAGTGCTTCATGTGTTTTACGCACGTTTAAAACTACTGCTACATGACATAGTGCTGGAGGCACATATTAAAGCTTACAGTTCTAAAGAAATCATAAATAAATCAGGCCTATTTGATGTATTTGTTCTATTCGTGGTGGCAGCATGAGCAGGCCGCGACTCAGTGCAGCTCCTGTTACATATAAAGAGCCCTTCGTGCCACCGAACTCAAACAAAAAGCTCTAGTTGTACCCGCCCCGCGTGCGTACATGTGCCATCGGCTATGCGTTCAACTCAGATATTCTATACAGCCCGCCCCAGTGCACGAGAGCTGAGCATGTCCCTTAAAAAGCCGCGTTCTACCCCGCGCAGCCCGTCTGCGAACAGCCGCGTTTACAGCGGGCCTAGCCGGGTGCTTTAAGGCCGCCAGTGGTGTTCCTGGTTAATGTAGGTCAGAGTAGTGACGGAAGGGTGTCCTCCGTTGAACCCGCGGCTCTAATCCACAACACAGCCCTGCAGATGGCGCGCACAGGCAAGCGCTCGGCTCAGTCCCTCTCACAAACACTAACGTATCCGTCCGAAACAACACAGGGAGAAGCTCACATAGAGAGATGGCGATTATTGTCTGAAGCGGTTTCGTGTCTCCTTATGAAAGCAGAGTTCAAGAGTGCAGTTACCAAAGGACCCATCCAAGCAGCGCGCGCACTCGCTCACTCATGACTTTGTTGGGTTACAAAATACATTTTTGTGACAGCAGCCCCGTATGAAGCTCTGGCATAGTACGGCACATCATGTTACACACAGTAGCACTGTCCTTTTTGATTATTCACTACTACAGACGAGCACACACCTGTCACTGTCTAGACGGGGAGGGGGCACTAAGGCGGTGGTGCGGGGGTCCCACATGACCCATTAGGTTTCATTCTATGCCAGCCAGGATATCTCAAGGCGTTGGATAATAATGGCAAAAAATCAACAACAACACAAGAGAAAGGCAAACCCTCTACTCATTCTGATTGGCCGCCTTGAACGACACCAATCCTTTCCCCCGCTCGCTAACTCGAGGTCAGCTCGGGACGATAAAAAATAAATAAATGAGAAAATAGAAATGCGTAGAAAGTAGAAGACACGGCAGACAATCTAGCATGTTGTTTGCCGGTCTTTGAGTGATGGCGACTGTGGCCAATAGGAAGGCAAGGAGAGGGGCGCGTGCAATAGTGGCAGCACGAGCGTCCAATCAGAAGTTCAGTTGGCTGACTGACACATAACTGACAATTCAGTGTGTGGCTTTGATCAGACGGTGCTTACAGTGAGTTCATTCACATTTATGGACGCTGTATTTGAAACTAAATACACAAAATTCACAGAGCAGAGTTGAACACCTCGCACTCAGAGTTCACTGACGGTGGTAATCTGCTGCTTCTCTCACAGTGAGTTTTATTTGTGAGCCTGTTATTACTCACATAGGGAGGTGAGTAGGAGAATTACTACTACTACTATCACAGGACTCCCACTAGAGCCATGATGGAGAGTACGGCTTTCACCATCCCATTGAGCTCACAAGGATTGAGGCACAATCAGTGTTTGGCGGCGTGGTGATCCAAACCAAGACAGTGCACGGGCTCCTTCCAATAGCAGCTTTAAGTGAAAAGGCGTGCCTGTCCTCCCTGCCTTTTTGCCTGCTTCTCTGCCCCCCGTCCCTCGTCCTCCCCCCTCCACCCCTCAAAGTACTCGATGTATAGTTAAAAAATGGGAGGGCACACTTAAACCGAGCTGCTCTATGAAGGTAGGCTGCAGCGTGTGTTTATTGATGAGATGAAAAGAAGATGGAAGTGGGAAATGAAACAAAAGTAAGAGGAGCGTATTGAAATTGAAAAACTAGACGCGCAGTTTGACCAGGAGGAAAAACACACAGGAGGGAGTCTTGGAAACGCTGTCGCCACTTTTTTCAAAGCTTCGAAGAAGTGCAGGTAAGAAAAAATTAAAAAGTAGTACCTAGAAAAGAGGATGGGTGTAAAAAATAATTTTTCGCTACTATATTTAATAAGGGGGCTTTCCTAGGGCAGGGACTCAAACATGCTCGTAGGCTGACTTCAGGGTCAAATGCTAAAATGACTTCCATGTACAGTAGTTGTAGTTGCCTTTACGAAATACAAATTATGAACTAAAACTCAAACTTCATGCCATACAGAAGCTTAAAATAATTGTGATGCCGGTGCGTAACGACAGCAGCCCGTCGCGGAGTATAAGCTACACATTTGGGGTTGTCAGTGCATTTTGTTGTCCATTTTATAATCGAGAATAAAATGCGCTGCTGGCCCTGGCATGACGCAATTTTCCCCATCTGTCATTATTCTCAACGTGCCCCTTTTACCTTTAGCCCTTCACTTTGTGATCTGCGGCGGACACTTAAGGACAATGTGGCCAAAGTGTCTGTGGTGGTGAGCGATGTTCCCCCGGAACAACTGTGGCAGCCCGACGTGCGCATTTGGCTTTTAGGTCAGTTATGTGAATAACGAGAAAACGCGGCGCTCTTATCACAATTAAATTACACTACTGCTTTTGTGGAAAGGGTTTAGTTTGTTGAACTTAACAGCTTAAACGTGTCTGCATAAGAGGCGACTCCTGCACAGGATCCTCAGCGCGTACAGGCAGACAGATGTCTAGCCTACATTTTTTATGAATTAATATCAATACGGCGTGGCATTTATGAGCTGTGGCCATACGCAAGGATCGAGTCGCTGTCCTGTCTCACATTGTGTCCTGCTGAAAAACAACACCACAGCTTTAGTTTCACGGAGATAAATCTCTTCTCCATCCAGCGGGACTCGCTGCGCTCTGTGCCGTGTTTTTACTAAAAATGATTGATTACTTTCGTCGTCCTCACGCACTCCAGCGGTTCGCTGAAATTTAGGGGGTGTAGTGGCAAATGGTGGCATCTGGGCAACTGCTGAATGTAAACTTCCTTTAGACGCTTTCCCTTTGCTTTTCAAACATTTTCGTTGCGAAATATTAAGGGGGTATCTCGTGATTTTCGTGCGCTTTTCTTATCGCGCCTCACGGAGCTTGTTGAATAAAGTTAATATCTTAGTTATTTGCTGAAGCAAAAGGGCCCGTACACGGGTAGCTCATCCGGTGCAGCGTCAGTCCTTAGTTCTCCATATCTGTGCGTGCGCGTGGCTGAGAAGGGACAGAGACAGTGTGTGCCAACAGATGTTGTCCCAAAGCGACAGTAAACAGTGCGTCCGGTGACCACACACTGCACGTACCATCTTCTCCTCGTGGATCTGGTAACAGGTTAGTCTTTCTGGACGCACGGCACAGCTCTGCGTTAGTCACAGAGCCTATGTGGACTTGGGTTTGACTTGTTCTGTGCATCTCTGTGTGCAGTGGGTGCATGCGTAATGTTCCGTGCATGTAATGTTAAGGCCTTTGGTCTGTTTAAGTCATCTTTCATTTCAATATAAAGTAAACTATAATCTCTGTATAAAATGATCATAGAAAAAATACCACTTTGTCTGACTTTTTCCAGTTTATCTGAGTTTTCATTTTCTTTGTGGTGTCTATTTTGGTGAGCTTTTGTTACTTTTAATATTAGCATTTCTGCCTTTTAATATCTGTTGTTGGTGTACTGTCCATATGCATTTTGAGAACACTCTGTTCTGTGGCCCCTACTTTGCTGGCCCCTCATCTGCTCTGTGTGTGGCGACACTCCTGCTAATGTCCCCTGTCTTTTTTTCATGAAATAGTTCTGTCAAATATGTAGAGGAGATATAGTGGACAGGTGGTTTAAGTTGGAATGGAGCCGTTTTCACTTTTCGTTGTTACACATGTGAATTGTCCTCATGCAGGTTGAAGGAAACCTGATTTGGATTTTTGGGAACCAGGAGTGGATAGTGATTGACAGACTGATTGTGTGTGGGGCCGAGGCAGTAAAGTCACATTATCACAAGTGGAAAGCTACCCATTTTATAAAGGCAACACATGAAGTTCGCACCTATATTTTTGGGCACATCACTGTTGATGAGCCGAAAGATGCCCCTGAAAGCTATACAATTTACAGTCCTTTTTTCAAAATTTAAATTCTTTATTTAGATGAATATTAAGACGGATTGAATCTCGATTTGACCACTTTTTTTGTGCAAGCCTAAAAACCCACCCATGACTAATGAATATTTAAGAGCTTGTCTGCGGAATAGGGCAAGTCATTATTATATGAAGGAGAGCCAGCAGATAAAGGGGAGGGGTGGGGGATGTAGAGGAGAGAGAGGGAGGGTGTGTGTGGTGGGGGGTAGGGAGTGGGGGGGGGGGGGTGCTCTAGACAGAAAGGTGTTCAATTAATCCATATCCAGCAATCAGACGTGCTTGTCACCCACCGCCTGTCCTCCCCTCTTTCACTTTCCAAATTTTTATTGTTGTTTGTTAAAAAATTCACGATTCTCCTCCAAAGTGTAACATGTGTCCAAATGTTTTGATGACCAATTCACACATCTCTCCCACCTTGGATTTCTCGGGACCAACGTGTATACAATATCCCCTTGTTATCTTTCCGGTTATTTATTTATTTATTTATTTGGAAGTGAAATAAAAAAGAAAGAAAAAAAAGATAAAACACAATCATCTCGTACTGTAAGCGCGACACACAGATGGTAGGTCACTTTTCCAAATAATTTTTTAAGCTGCCCAAGTAGACATGATAAGGGACATCTCTGTTGCCTCCGCATTGCCACATTTCACTAGTTTATTATTCACAGTCATTTTTTTCCGAACCACATTTTAACTAGGTAGCACACTGTTTGAATTTTGAATTATAATAATGTGATTTTGTTTTCTCTGTTTCGGGCTCCAGGAATATTTTGTGTGCTGAAAACTGTGTAGTGGAAAGAATTGGAAAAAATACTGGAAATATAATATTGGACATGAGCGAATTCACATAATCCACTCAAGCATTACGTTAGATTTTTATTTTAGTCACACACATTAGCAGATACATTTTTTAAGACTTATTAAGAAGCCTAATTTCATTTAGATTTATTTTGGGCATCAAATCTTAGTGTAAAATCTTATGTACTATTTCCGAGATCCAATTTTTCGGGTGAAACTTCCCACACTTTGCAAATAGGACGTAAAATATGCAACAGAAAGCTACTTAGCAATACTTGACCAACGATTTTCAAGGTGCACAATCAAGACACGCACTTGAGCCCTTTTCCTGGCACTTCCTCCCAGCCCAGTTGAACATATTTGGCAGCCATTTTGGGATTGCAATAGAAATCCATCGATATAACGAGGAGGCACTTTGTGGATTGCGTCCAGAATGTCACGGTGCTTGTTAACTGCTTGGCCTTTTTGTCTCAGACACTGTTTATCCCCAGTTCCCCTCCCCTTGTTTTTTTGGTATTTTGCTCTATAATAGTAATTAGAAAGAATCAGCCCCTATGGAACCAACCTAATCTTTGATGTGGCTGCCAGCAGAGAGGACCTACATCTAAAAGTCATTGATAAGTTGTGTAATTAAGTTCCAAATGCCCTTTAAGCCCGTTATAGCTTTAGCTTTTATTGCAGAGCATAAAGTTTCTCACCTGATGCTCGGGACTGCTGTTGTAGACTGAGTCCCTCGTTTCCATAGCAACGTCCCCAAAAACTCAGCTACCTCGAAACCTCAATGCGAACTGTAAAAAATACCACGTGATACTCAAGCAGCCTTGCTTTTAACTGTCCCTCCTTATTTGATCAGTTTGTACATTTTATATCACATTTTAATTATGTTTTTAGCAGTGATTTCTTCAGAATATCTTTTTGCCATTTTAGACTGGGTGTTTAGTTTAGGTGAGTTTCTACAGACATGCCTTACAAGACCTGTACAGTAATTCTTATGACCATGATCTTTAATTACACAAAACGTAATACATTTCTTCAATCTTGTATGGTATTTTTATCTGAATTAAATTAGCAGCTTTATAGTGTTGGTTCGTTAGCACACAAGCTCGTCAACTAAGTACTGGCAAACTGACGACTCACTGGATCCAATTGCTCTACCCACGATGCACCTCTCTCTCACATAGCGCTTCTCCACATGCACAATATCATATTTTAATTCCTGGAAATGGTATGTGTCCATGTTACCCGTTTAGCTGCAGTAAATGAAACGTAATGTGTTGTGATTTCTTGAATTCACAAAAATAAAATAATAACTCATGATTCAGGTGAGGGGGGTCACATTACAAAAAAGAAATGTTTTGTAGCTAGAGTTCCACACTCAATATCCTTCACTCAAAAAATAAAAAAGGATTTTAATAATACACGCTTAGTCCGTTTGCAAAACACTTAAAAGTTGTTGATTGCCTTGAAATTTTGACAACTTTTTTTCTCATTTGACACATTTATGGTGTTTTTTTAAAGTAAAGTTAAGCTGTGAGTTGTGAAAGGAGTTTTGTTTTTTTGGAATCTCCCTCCTGTGAGGATCAGGAATGCATTGAGGCGGAATTAGTTTTTGTTTATGCGCCATGTTGCTGTCAGGGACCTTTTGTTCAATTGTAAAACCAAAAAGCAACATTTTTAAATTTTATCATGATGAAAACACCTCCATTTGCAGAATAATAAAATGCAAGTTTCAAAACAAGACCTCAGATTTTTTGTTTGGTTTATTGAATTACACAAATAGTCTTTGTGTGTAATTGTGTGGCATACAGTTGTTCCTAAGAAGATTAAGGGTTAACTTTGATTCACATTTTTTCATGTGTCACCAGTGTCTGTGCTGGTGTGTATGTGCTACAGATTCCAGTTGTGGGTGCAACCGTGCGTTTCCTCTGTGTCAAAACGACAACCAAAACACACCATACTATTTCTTCACATTACTTGACTAGGTTTAATTCAGTTTGATTACAGGTCATTGGTGCTTTATGGGAAAAAATGGTTTCTGTTTAGTTTGGAGTGTGCTCATCAGACTTACTCACCCTTCCAGTGTAAT